ATTGTCGGTGTTCGAACACCGCTGTCTACGTCACTTTGCACGAGTCTGGTGGGGTAACCGGATGAGCAATGCTGAGGTTAGGCGTAGAGTTTTAGGCAGTCGCGGTCGTCCAGTGGAACAAGTGATCGAGCTCCATAGATTATGCTGGTTGGGGCATGCTTTGTGCATGTCAACAGATAGGTTTCCGCGGTGAGTGATGTTTGCCAAGGTTGGTCGCGTTTGGAAAAAGGCCAAGGGTGATCTAACTAAGACCTGACTTTAGGGTATGAAAGCCCTAACCAGGAGGTTATGTCGCATTTGTCCCATTAGGCTCCGATGATGGGGACCTCGGGCTAATGATCACCGATGGTTAGCTACACTGAGTGATATGGCTGGGTGTCGCAAACTGTGGCGCTCATGCAACCACTCATTATTCTCCTATTACTGTTCTACATGGATTCTCTATCTTCTTCTTGATTTTGCTTTCATTAGTCCAATTTTTATTCTGCTGTTCTATCCAAATGGTGCACAAAAAGGCAGCAACCAAAATTGGCGCACGAAAATGCATGGTTATTGGTTGTAAAAACTCAGCTCAGCTGAACATGCGTTGTGCCTTTAAGGTCTCGGGTTCGATCCCCAGCTGCGTCAATATTCAATGCAGTTTGGAAAATCATTAACCAAGCATATTCGTGCGCCGGTTTTGGTTGCCGCCGTTTGGCTGCCCATTTCGATGAAAAACGGGAGAAAGGAAAGTTGAAAGTGGAGTCGAACAGAAAATGGAGAAGTTCAGTGGATTAATGCTACAGAGAAATTGATAAGATGCACGAACGCCACTGGTTGCGACACGCAGCCATATCACTCAGTATATCTAAACATAGGTTACGATCATCTCGGGGTCCCCAACCAGGGAGCCTAACGGGACCTGCGTGACCTAAACTCCTGGTTAGGGTTTTCATACCCTCATGCCACGTCTTAGCTTGACCACCGTTGACGTTTTGCCACTCAGTATCTGCTTCAGCAAACATCACTCGCCGTGGTAACCAATCTGGTGACATGCGTAACTCGTCCCAACCAACGTAATCTATGGAGCTCGACCACTTGCTCCAGTGGGCGACCGTATTTACCCAAAACTCTGCGTCTAACCTCAGCATTGCTCATCCGGCTACCCACCAGATTCGTGCAATGCTGCGTAGACAGCGGTGTTCAAACACCGACAGTCTATTTTTATCCTGTTTTCTTAATGGCCAAGTTTCTGCTCCATATAGAAGAACTGGCCGAACTACTGCAGCAT